TATAAACATTGTGGTGCATGTACCCCTTCAAATCTGTATTTTTGCATCCTTTAGGTAAATATCTAATAGTGCAATTGCTGGGTCTTAAGGTAGTTCTATTTTTAGCTTTTTGAGGAACCTCCATACTGTTCTCCAGAGTGGTTACACCAGTTTGCTTTTCCACCAACAATGTAAGAGAGTTCCCCTTTCTATGCATCCTCACCAACACCTGTTGTTTCTTTTGTTGTTAATTTTAGCCATTCTGACAGGTGTGAGGTTGTATCTCATTCTGGGAAAAGGAAAACAAAACTGAAGGTATAATATTTCTAGATTTCAAGCTATATTACAAAGCTGTAGTCATCAAGACAATGTGGTACTGGCACAAAAACAGACATAGACCAATGGAACAGAATAGAAAACCCAGAAATGGACCCACAATTATATCGTCAACTAATCTTTGACAAAGCAGGAAAGAATATCCTATGGTACCATTTTTTATATCAAAACTTAGCTTGCTTTGTGGGAAGCTGGGAAAAGCTAGTGAATTATTATAGGATGAAGCTCTGATGTCCTTACTTCAATGCCTTAGAATCACCTTTTTGAACAGATCTGTTCCTTGACCAATCATCCCTCATCATTTCCTATTGATTGTATGAAAGGGAAGCTATCAGCATATTGAGGACACAAAGTTGACCTTTGGAAGCTGGAAAGATATTTCCAATAGAACATTTGTAGAGGGTGATAAGTTCTGAATAGAGATACATTTTTGCACATGCGGCTGTGTATGCAAAGTGCATTAAAAGAAGTCATCCCTATTTTGGCCTGTGGAAAATAGGTAGATTATATGCTTGTGACATATCTAGGCTTTCTGGGTGGTAACCATGCTCCTCATCCTCTGTGAGGCAAAAAGAGAGGGGAGAATACACAGAGTTGAAAAGTAACTACTGTTCCTGTAGCTCCATCCCAAAGCCTCTGTCCTCCTACGGCCACTCACTAATAGGGCCTTTCTGGTGGCAAAAATAATAATGCATCTAAATTTCTTGATCTCAGCTTGTTGAGGCAGGAAAGTGGAAAAAGCTGGGGGGTTATGGAGGGCAAAGATAGATTGTTGATTAAAGCTGTTGAGACAACTGACAAGCTCTTTGGTTAATTCCCCTGGCAGATTTTACCACCATTCCTAGGGTCCTACCCTTCCTTTTTTCCTTGATACCCTGACTTTCCTCCTTCCTAGGAATGGGGTAAAATGAGTCATCTTCCTGATTTAAGTTGTCATCTCAGATCCAGAAATATCTCACTCAGCCTCCCGAAAGGAGGTTTTTCTGCATCCCTTTGCCTTCATGTGTTGGAATGGGTAGTTTCAATGTCTACCAACTGTACCTATTTATGATGATTCTGATAATTCTCATCTCACCTTGGCCCAATACCTTCCTTACTCTTTTCCTGTTTTCCTTAGAGTCAGAGGTGTAAAGATGCTAGCACAGTGGTTAAGAGCACAGGCTCTGAAAGTCAGATCACCTGGTTCCTGTCCCAGCTCTTCTGCTTTCCTAACTGTGTCACTTGGGACAAATTACTTAACTTTTTTGAGCCTCTGTCTCCTCTTCTGTGAAATAGAGGTAATAATGGTACATGCCTAGCAGGACTGAGTAATACAATTCATTGAAAACTGTTAGTATAGGGGCGCCTGGGTGGCGCAGTCGGTTAAGCGTCCGACTTCAGCCAGGTCACGATCTCGCGGTCCGTGAGTTCGAGCCCCGCGTCAGGCTCTGGGCTGATGGCTCAGAGCCTGGAGCCTGTTTCCGATTCTGTGTCTCCCTCTCTCTCTGCCCCTCTCCCGTTCATGCTCTGTCTCTCTCTGTCCCAAAAATAAATAAAAACATTCAAAAAAAAACTTTAAAAAAAAAAAAAAGAAAACTGTTAGTATAGTAGTTGCTGTATAGTTAGTGCTCAATCAATAGCTATTGCTATTATGTGTGTGGGGACATTCAGTCATTTCCACTATAAGAACTTTATATACTCAAGGCATGTTAGATTTTAATTATTATTTGTGCATCTTTTGATGTAAATCAACACTGAAGGTCCTGTTTTCAAAATGCCCACTCCAGTATCCAAATTTGGTCTCCATGATCATAGGTGTTGTGTTTGATCCAGATGTGGCACAGGCCCAACCATGTCTGGCTTAGTCTTTTTATCCAGCTGTGCTGCCTAGATATGCTCAAGCATGAATTAGTTATATTTTCCACAACTCCTTTCTCCTCTGAAACCTTAGATAAGAAGCCTCTCAGAGATGACTTTTCCTTCTTCAAAGTTCTATCCTTCTGCATCCTCCATTTTACAGATAGGTCATCAAAGGCCTAGAGAGGATTAAACTTATGGATAGGGCCTGGAAGTCACCCTAAAGCCAAGCTTGACATTCAGTTTACAGGGGCCTCTTGTCAAATGGTCTCTGAATACTTGAAGAATTTAGTTTATCATTTTTCTACTTGATTGGAAACTTTTCAAAGAAGGAAACTATTATTCTTCTTCTGCCTGCTTCCACAGCTCTGGGTGAACCAGGAGGATGGGGTAGAGGAAGGGCCCAGTGATGTGCAGAATGGGCACCTGGACCCCAACTCAGACTGCCTTTGTCTGGGCCGTCCACTACAGAACCGGGACCAGATGCGAGCCAATGTCATCAATGAGATCATGAGCACCGAACGTCATTACATCAAGCACCTCAAGGACATTTGTGAGGTAGGCCCAGCTATGATAGTTTATGTGGGGGCACCCAGGGTGTAATAGAGGGCATTTTCATGAAGAACCAACAACTCTGCTGAGCTTTACCTGTGACAGTCCCAAGATATTGGAAAGAGCAGCTGGACTGGCCTCTTATATTCTGTTCAATGGGTAAAACAGGTCCCTTGGAGTTTCTCAGTCCCTATCTCAGTTTCTCTCTTTCTCTGTCTACCTAACATTCATCTTTTATCTTCATATTCCTTATTTCTCTATCTCTCCCTGCCTCCCTCACTTGATCTTCCCTTCCCTGAATCTCTATCCCTATCCTTTTGGCTTCTAATTTGGTTGTTGCCACCCCATGGAAAGGCCTGACTGCATTAATTAAAGCAAAACACATCTCCCTCCAACTCAGTGGTTTACAAACTTGAATGTGCACTAGAGTCCCTGGAGAAACCTGTTAGACATGCATATTCCAGTCCCCTCCATCTCTTCAAAGTTGTGAATTCTCACTCTGGATAAACCAAAGCATCTCTATATTTAACAAGCATCCCTGGTGAAACTGGTGCTATTGGTCCTCCTCCTTCACTTGAAGAACACTGGTTTTGAGTTATGTCAGAAGAGTTTATGGGGAGGAATCTACAGGAGATAAAGGCTGAGTGGACAATTCTAAGCTCTTTCAATATGCCCCTTTTCCCCCAGGAGCTATGGCTCCACATTCCTTAACTCTATCCCTTCCATCTTTGTGATCTGAGTAAGGATTAGAGCCCTTTTCCTAACACTCCCTTGATGTCATGAGACAAGATGGAATTTTGAAAGGGCATTTTACTAAACACTTTGGGAATACCAATGGGAAATGGAGGAAAGAATGTTTTAAAAAAAGGTTTCTCTCTCTCTCTCTCTCTCTCTCTCTCTCTCACACACACACACACACACACACTAGCATTCTGCTTCACCCAGGGAAAACTCTATTTTGAATATGTTTATCCCCTTCCTTCTAGGTAAAGAGTCAGGTCCTACTTTCTGTCCCCAAAGCCCTGTTGAGTGAGCCCAGGGCCCACTTGGAATCAATAGTACAGCTTTTTAAAAAAAAATTAAGTTTATTTAATTTTGAGAGAGAGAGAGAGAGAGAGAGAGAGAGA